AACAGAAGTTGGAAATATGGACCACTGGATCCTGACCCAGTGGCTAAATGGTAATGTGCTGGTCACGGAACCTGAAGGTCGCGGTTTCGATCTCTGCTGGTGGGGTCGTGGGTGCGCACTGCTGAGGAGTCCCATACTAGGACGAAACAGCTGTCCAGTGCTCCCAGGTTTCCTTTGTTCCTCCAACTGATGTCAGTCTTCGATGAATAACAACTTGAAATATTTCCAAATCTCCACAACCCCCTCAAAATTTAATTGAACTAGTGCTCGTTGGTGACTAGCTTCGAGAAGTATTCCCGAAGTTCCAATGACAAGTCGTGACCGGTGGAGTCAAAGCCTGATGGTCGTGAGGACAAATACTCAACGATGACATTGGGTGGCGGTTTGCGCTATATCGTGAGCTAACAGAAGTTGGAAATATGGAGCATTGGATTCTGACCCAGTGGCTAAATGGTAACGCGCTGGTAGCGGAACCTGAAGGTCGCGGGTTCGATCCCTGCTGGTGGGGTCGTGGGTGCGCACTGCTGATGAGTCACATACTGGGACGGAACAGTTGCCCAGTGCTTCCAAGTTTCATTTGTTCCTCCAACTGATGTCAGTCTACGATAAATAACAACTTTTAATATGAATGAGACAAATTAATTGGAATATCATTTTGACTATCTGAGATAGCCGTGATTTGGTAGACTAATATTAATACTGGGTGATGATTGAAGGTGCAATGAAAATTTGGACCGTGGTCGGATACGAACCAGCAACCACCGGCTTTCCGGCGCGGTGCTACAAGGTTCAAAAACGTCTTACTGAACCCTTTTTGCTACCATTCTACCTTTACGTCATCAAATAGCAACATTATTATTATGAAAACCATCATCATTATGTCAACCTCTCAGTATTTCTGAACGTCTTACGGTGTAAACCACAGCTTTCCCATTTTCCCATTCAAATATTCTATTAAAGAAGTTGTGGCTTATACATTGGTGTTGAGAAAAATCCTTTTCTGAGAATTTTCACCCTCTTAATCTCGGAATTTAGCGAGCTGTTGGCGGTAAGATGCTAATATGCATCCATCGTGAAGAATCTTGAAGTGGAATGTATCTGCATTTTCAACGGTTTTTCTCTAATAAGTTACAAGAAACGGTTGTTGAAAACACATCAATCACAAAGGTATCTTTGTTCAAAAGAGACATTGGAATAGAAAATGATTACTGTAATTAATTCTCCCAGAAACATCATCATCTTTGATACCAACATATAAGAAAACAGGCTTCTTTTCAACAACATAAAACTCTGGTTTTACTTAGTCTATTCTGCAGATATCCGTTATCACTGAAGTAACTTTCAAGAATAGTTATTTCCTCTTCTGATCTGTCTTTTCAGCAAATATACCTTTGCTACTGAAAAGTAGTTTCATCAGCCCATTCATATAATTTGGTTTGGAGGTATGTAGGAATTTATTGATTTCTTATAACTATCGGGATAAAAACTGTTAAAATGAAGATACATTTCACTTCAAGAATCTTCATGATGAATGCATCTTAGTATATAACCATCTGAAATTCTCTGAATTCCGAGTTCAAGTGAGTGAAACTTCTCATCGTAAGAGATTATTTTAATATGAGCGCAGTGTTCAGAAAATCAAAGCAAGATTCTTCTAAACGCTTCACTATGTAAGCCACAACTTCTTCAGTAGAATATTTGGATTTGAAAATCGAGAAGCTGTGGCTTACATAGCGAAACGTTCAGAAACATCTAACTTTAACCTTTTGAAACACTGAGATTATATTAGAATATACTTGGCGCTCAACTTCTTCCAGGACATTCGTAACAACTATGATCTGGATGTTTATGTAACTTCTCATTCTTTTCATATTCCATGGATTTATACGCATCATTATCGATCGATGTACGTTTGTTGTTATTCCGTTTTATAACATTGACCTAATTACCCGAATCACACTCATCTTGTAATCCTAGATGACCTTTTCTCTACATACATTTTATGTAACCTTTCTCGATGGCTTGAATACATTTGTCTCTCCCACATTTTTGTCCAATTTTCGCTCTGAAATATTCGTCTAATCCTTCTGTGTATTATTAAGATCGTGTTCATTATAGAGTGACATGAGTAAGAGAAATATCGAGTGTGGGAGTACTGGACAGCTATTTCGTACTAATGTGGGACCCCTCAGCAGTACGCGCCCATTATCCCACCAGGGATAGAATCCAAGAACTTCAGGTTTCACAGCGAACACGTTAACTATTCAGGCACTGGTTCACAGTTTCTTATTTCTATCAATCGGTGATATGGTGTGAGCATTCACCAATGTTTTCAGTTGCCACCCACTTCAGTTCCGACTTCCTATGAGTTCCTGTATATTTATTTACTCAATCAGTTAGTGCGTCTTCAGTTGGGTCACATCTATGGTATCTTTATTTCAAGATGATAGTTTTCTGTCAGAATGATTCGAACAAAAATCCAAACCTTTTGCCTAAATTGATGTTTTGGTTGGTAAGCAGCTGATGAGAAACCACGAAATGAAATGGATCCAAACTATTCTATTGTTCTTACTGCACTTAAAAGAGGTATCGACAATCGTTATTTATAAGCCTTACTGTGGTAGCTGATACAATAGTAGCATAGGAATGTGACTCATTAGATTAGTAACTGAAAAAGGTGATGCAACTCACCTGTTAAATACAGGAGAATTTAATTTACTCTCTGTTTGCTCAATTCAAAGTAGGTTGAGTGGATCTTGTACCCAGGAGCCACTGCTTAAAAGTAGAATGCTTAATTCTATGAGTCACATATTCAATCATGAGCCTGGGCATTTGAATTCCGACTAATGTGTCCCAGGGTGAAATCCCACTTCCATTTTTCAGGCCTGAAAACTGGGTAATACCTAATTCCTTTATGCATAAAATTGTTTCTTGGAGTTCTGTAACATTATTTACTTGTATATTTACAGTTCATCGCGTCTAATTCAGGTTATTGATAAATCCGACAGATGAGTAACGATAGGCAGGTGAAGACTTCGATTTTAATTGTTTTAAAGTGATATAGAAAATCTGTAGGTAACAAAAACATGATGCTTATGATAATTGTCTCCAATGTCAATGAAGGTCAAACAAGTTGATCATCTTACTCAAAGAATGAAACAACAACGGAACCGTTTCAGTTCCTATTTTTTTATCACCATATTTCTAATAATTCATAACCCCGCCCTTCCCCCTCCCCAAAAAAGTTGTTCATAAGTTTACAGACACCCCCTTGTTAATGAGTATTGAAAAGTATGGAACTTGGACTCAGGGTTTTTGCCGCCATCTTCTGATAAGGAGTCTACACGTAAGTAAGCATTAACAAATAGATGGAACTCTTATGTGTTAAGACAGATAAGACCCTTCAACAGTTAAATATGTAATGCAACCCCCCTCTCTTAAGGCAACTGGAAGTGTTTGTCTGATTAGGAACTGTACAAGTTTGCTGTTTCAATTCAATGAAGCCTTTGATTCATCTCTATAATATCACTCTTTTACATGATTAATCGTTATCTTATTGATATTGAAAATGTAGTGAAAACAATGAACAAGTCTCTAAACACGTACTATGATTCACTGGTCTAGATAGTCGACTTTAGACTATTTAGCTTACAGAAACTACGACTCTTCCTCCATCGGTTGAGGTTTTAGCAGTCTGCTAATACTAGTAGAAGTGGTTACCGTGACTCAGTAACCTAGTGGATAAAGCTCTAGCGTTTGAAGTGGTAGGTCCTGGGTTAGAATATTAGGGGGAACAACACTCATTGGGAGGTAGGCACATCCAACCGACGAATCCCAAATAGGACGAAACGCGTGTTTTGGATTCCACTGCTAGTCACTATCCACCATTACTAAATATCATACAATAAGCGAAAACCACACGGATGCATACGTACTCATATGCAGTTACTGAACTCTATCACATTCGTTCCATACTTGCAAATTGAGTGATTAAAAAGGTTTCAATTCTTCCATTCTCATTCACATCTGAACACATTTAATTTAAGAACAGTTTTCTGCATGCCTTTAAATCATTACCTTGTCATCAAGACTATAGTACCTTAGAGGATTTTATATATATATATATATATATATATATATATATAATCTGACGTAGCACTCTTGATCTTAACGCTGAAGATACACTCAGAATTCCAACCAATGGGTCAAACGTCACCCTAGCAATAAGGGTTTTAATAGCCAGGGAATATAAACACCACCAATACCAAGAGGTGGGTTCATAGCCTAATATACCAATATATATGAGGTGTATTCAAATAATTAGAAAGATATACCTGAAACATTGAGGATACTCATGTCACTAGATGCTAAAGTTACAAGCTCAACCGTTAAGATATTAACGCCACAAGTGATCTGACGTAGCACAGCGACTAGCCATTGAATGATAAGCCCTATAGCTTTCAGGTGCTCAGAGCTAATCGAAGTCTATGGATGAAGTATAAGTATGTGTTACAAGTACTCAAACAATAATGATAAATTTTTAGGTTAGTAGGAACTTTACTTTTAAGGTAGTATTCATCATGGACTGATATCAGTTGAATTATGATTTGTTTTAGTCCATAGTGTTCATTAGCGACATGTTACGAGGTAAATATCAGGAAGTTCAAATGAGAAGCCATGACCTATGAAGTCATCCCGTCAGAAGTGAAGCGGATATCAAGGGAAAACCGCACTATATCGCGAATTGACAAAAGTAGAAAACTGTGGGCCATTGAGCTTTAACCCACTAGCTGAATGGTGAATGCGTTCGCCGTGAATCCTGAAGGTCTTGAGTTCCATCCCTAGCGAGGTCGTGGATGCGTACCGATGAGGTGTTCCAAATGATGTCAGCCCGTGATCAATACTACCCTCGTAATAATAATAACAATGATAATAATAATAATTATGATAATAATAATAACAATGATAATAATAATAGTCGGGAAGAAAGACTTCCTTACGTCATCAGATTCAGGATCAGGTAACTGAAGGTGGATTGATGGAAGTTGTGACTCTTTTTCATCATCCAATAACTTTGTGTCTGGTTTAATAATATTATGATATACTTCCAAGTGGTTATCATCATCTGAGTATAAATCACCATTGATATCAGTGATAGATATATGCTGTGGCAGTGTTGCTGAGAATGAAGATTCTTCATCAAACTGTTGTTGTTGTTGCTTTTGCAGTAATAATCCTCTACGAGTTATTTCAACTCCAGAATCGGTGTTACAGTGTCTAGTAGTCGGTACATCCGGTGAATATCTGGTATAATCCGTTACTGATAGCCGTTTAGCCGGTGGCTGATCCAATCGGATACAAGTACTGTTTCGTTTTGTCGACACATTATTACTTACAACATCATTATCATTTGTATCATTTTTTATTGTTAAACTCGTAATATCATTCATCTTATCTGTTTGTGTTGCTCTCTTGATTAAGATATATTATACATTTTCACATATAAAATCGATACTCTGTGTTGTGCAAAATGATCAGGAAATGAAATCCTCATGTCTTATATGATTGAATATGAATATGTAATTTAAGACGAGGAATTGTGTATTTATATAATAATGCTTAAATAATATAGGCTTTTCCTGCTTTCGGGCTGATCGAACTGCTGGTTAGTTATTTTTCTTTGGCCCTTTTATTACTGGTTAACAGAGTTTACAAACAGGCCAGACAAGAGTCATCCTCTTTTAAAAATGAATCGACGCCATTATGCAGCGGATAGACAGCACGGAAGGCTTTATCAACTAACTACTAACCTGAAGGCGGAAGTGGGAACGGAAATATCCACGTCAATATATGTAAAGTGTGTATTAACTTCATGTGTATGTTTGCGTTAGTGTGTAAGTCTATTAATGAGTAGAATGCCCTACAGTTCAGCCTTTAGTATATGTCATTTGAAGGGCGGAAGCGTACAATATTTTAATGTCGCATGTGTGGTGCATCCGCCTGTGCAAAAATGTGTTCATTTGTTTGTTTACATGCTGGGACATATTGATATATGTTTAAGCCTGTACTGTTTTCTCTACTTTGCGCGTGTGTGTGTATACCATAAGCAATTCGACATACGGACAGGTTTATTGACGGAAGTTTCAGGGAGAGATAAATGAATGGACAAACAAGACGGAAGTTTGTCTCAGATGGCAATTATTTGTTTTTAATCAAATTCTAATCATCTATACGGAAACCCTAGATAAAATCGAACACTAATTAGAAATATATGACCATATTACTACTACTGCTACAGAGGTAAGTAGTGGCAACCAGGATGTAAGCTATTAAAGACTGCCAATGACAATGGGAGCCGGATGAAGTTTGCAGGAATTCGGGGTACAAGTTTCATTCAAGCTACTGTTGTTTATTTTACCGGATTAGTTTCCTGGCATAAATATTAAACATGTGTCTGTTTCATTTGGCCTTCAATTCAGAGATAGTTGACTAATAAATTACATAGCCTATAGTTCGAATCCTGTTGTTTCACAGTCGTCCTATGTATCAGTTATCATATCTGTAAACTCAATAAGTAGGTTTCTTGTGGAATAAACTTAGCATAATTTGATTACGACAAACTCTAATCCCAAGATAATCAAATAGGGATCCCATATGCCAGAAAGGGTTAATCGATAAGGCTCACTAAATAAATACCGCGAGATAGGAAGCTATACTCATTGTACACATCTTGGCCAGTGAAACTAATTAAAACAGTGAACTGTCATTCTGGTGTTCGAAGCGAAAGATGGAAAGTTTCAGTTTCATTGGTGGTGGTGGTGGGAGGGAGGAGGGGGGAGGGGGCAACATCACTGACACAGCTGACGAGGTTCAAAAAAGGTGAGATACGGATCTTGAATTCCACACAGCCAAAGAATAACTGACTGATGTATGTAGATTATTGAGCCTATCTGGAATGATCGAAGTTTGGCAGAATGATTTCTTTGTTGACAACTAGTTGGTGAGTGATTCAAGGTAAAATGATAGTCTGGGGCAGGACAAGACTTAAAGCGATGGTCTCCTGTGTACCGACTGAGTTACAGGACTCAGCTGCTAATCAGGTCTAGAAATCTACTTTTATAAAAGAGATCTTTACCAGACCCTCATGTAGATGCGTGATTTGTCACTGCCCGTTCATCATCACTACACTAGTTACCCAATTAGATGTTTCCATCCAAGTCCAATTGGGTATTTTACTTCAGTTGTTAGACAGCTGGGCGGGTAATCTGTAGCATATTGGTTCGAATCATGCAACAACTCATGTTTTCAAATCATCATTAATTAGTACCAGTGGCGTAAGTTCATCAATAAACAAGGCTGTCATTCATATCTTGTGTAATACTGACCATTTATCGAAATTATATACATATAAGTTTGGCATTAATTATGGACCGACATCATTTGAAGAAACATTGGAAACCTGGAAGTACTGTACAGTTGTTTCGTCCAAATTTGTGACTCCTTAACAACGCGCACCTTTGAGCCCGCACTTCGATGGGTCTACGCAGGACAGCCAGGTCACGCGACCGTCACGTTACCATCGAGCTACTGGGTCGAACCCAATGTTCAATGTTTCTTACTCCCATCATTTCACGACATAGCGTGACCTCTATCCAATGCCATCTTTGAGTAACTCTCCTCATAGTCAACTTGGCTGATTCCACATGTCACGACTTCTCATTAGAACTTTGGCACAAAACAGATGTCTAGTGCTTCCAGGTTTTCAATGTTTCAACGAATAAATTCCCTCATAGCAGAGACAGTTTATCCTATGACAGATGATGACAATCATAACTGAAGAGATGTCAGGAGTTAGTTAGGACTGAAATGTGGGTAATAAAGTATTGAGACAGCATTATGATGACCAACCATGAATAAATCGGGATTCACAAACACGAATGTGAGTTAACGGTTAAGACAAAACCTACATATCAGCAGGATTTGAATAAGAAGCCTCTAAGTCTTGGCATCTCCAAAGTAATATGAGACATACTTCAAAAATGACATTAGATGATGACCATGTGATATCTCAAACTGACAGAAATAGAAAACTGTAGCCCATCGGCTCAATGATCACATGCTCATCAAGAAATCTGGGTTCGACCCCTAGCATGAACACGTTTGTGCACTGGTGAGGTGTCCCATACTGGGACGAAGCAACTTTTCAGTGCTGTCACGTTCTCAATGGTTATCCAGTTGATGTCAATCCCTGATGGATGCCCAAAATCCTCTCTTTATGTCCATCCACAGTGAAAGATCAGTCGTCAATGATCCTTGTGGTTTGAAGACTTCAGAAATACTGGCTACATCTCACCATCAGTAAGTTGAACATCGATGACACACCGATGAGTACCATTCTAAAAGTAGATTTTCTCAGGCCGTTTACTGCTTGAGCAGTAATGATAAACGTTTCTTGATAATAAGAAAGTACGATGGTTAAACTGCTTGATCAGAAAATAATGATGCCTAAAGTGAAGACGTATCAGGTTGGGAAATGAGCATCCTGATTTCCATTCCACAAGAGGCTGAGGTTTTACACCATGCTATAAATACTACTGACTGATATAAGCAATCAGTAATTACTTTGATTAATAAACAGAGTTATCTAATCAGATTCAGGTGATACAGGCACCAGATAGGTTGGAATGATTAATGGTGCGCCCAAGTGGATTCAACTGAAAGAGCCGAATTATAACCAAAATTTATCAAACGATAACAAATTTATTCAATATAACTTGTTTTCTGTGTTACACATTCCATTTTTAACTCCATATGACGGTGGCTTTTGAATGAGCTAAATTATTCCAGTAGAAATATTCTCTGACCTAATATTGTCGATAATGGATGTGTTTCACTTTCATGCTAGTCAAGATCATTAATGCGATCGCTTGTCAACGAGAAAACACGATGCTAAATGTGGGAATAAACACTGGTATGTTTTATTTACCCAACTTTATGTGTTTCAGTTGGCTGTCATAGCTCAGCAGTTTCGAAGATAGCACTCAGGTGTTTACATCGGGTGAAGCTTTGAAATTGAGGCGAAAATCTATTCGAAAAGCAGGTCTTAATGCAAACGAAACAAACATCCTCGAATTTATTGCTATTCACTTATTAATGATATCAACACACAATCACTGGTGGTATAAAGATTTCTACAGGAGAAGTCTTTGCACGAAAAAGAGACTAGAGGAAGAACAATAAAATCTAAAACAAAAGTGAATTGTTTCAAAATACCGTCTTTAATAACTATATAGAAACAGAAAATGAACAAGACCATTACTGTATCTTCTATCTGTTGGGTAGAACAGAGAAGAAGAAAGAAACAGGTTTGCATGTAGTAAAAGACTGTTCACTTGGAGCTTCATCAGCCACACAATGTGACTAAAGACTAGTAGCACAGGTCGTTTGGTCGGTGAGGATAAGAATAAACTTCATCACAAGTCAGCATTGTTCATAGACTTTACTTTAAAGACTAATAGCATATCTTATGTATACCGTCTCTAAAAAGCAGAATATCTGGAATTAGAATATAATTTATTTGTGCTTAGTGATTGAGGAGATCGGACGTTTGTTTCGACTATCAATCAGATCAACACAGAATGTTTATTATGACCCTTTATTACAATGACTGATGTTTGACTACCCATATATTTAAATTTGTAACCTCACCTGGTTAACTAGTTCACTAGTTACTAGCTGGTCCTAAGCCCGGGTAAACAGAGAAGGTTGGGCACAGGGCTAGCAACCCTACCCCATAAAACCAATCCAACCGCTACAGAAACTTCAAAGCACAAACAAAGTATAAACAATAAATCAAACTTATTCCTCACTGGAATCGGAGAGGCGAAATGACGCCGGTTAGTGAAAGACTTCAAGAAGCCAGTCGGCCGATGTGTCTCCTCTAGATGAAAACGAAAGTAAACATGGGGACATGGATTGTCGGCACTATGTTTGAACCTAACTGGCAAGGCTGCACAGACTGCAAAGGAGATGAGAAGGTATCGCATTGAAGTGCTTGGAATTTGCGAAAGCAGATGGGATATGAGTGAACTCTCCAAACTGTCAACTGCAGAATCAATAATCTACTCCGATATTGTCACCCAGACTACAACCACGAGCACAATGCGTTTTCGAGTGGCTATCATGATGTCCCTCTCCCAGGAGCATCTCAGGCTCTCATGCAGTGGGAACCGATTTCCTCCTACACGATCAGCATCATGACAGCAAGATGGATTGAACTCACAGGTAAGGAAGGTCACTATCATACAATGTTGTGCTATTCACCTACAAATAATGCAGATGAAGAGAAGGAGGGGGAAGAATTCTAGGGACAACTGCAATCAGCACTGGACAAGACCTCAGTTGTCGACATCAGAATCCATTCTGATGGGTGACATGAATGCCAAACTGGAAGTGGACAACACAGGAAGAGAACTAACCATGGGTCGAGAAGCGCTCGGTGAGGTGATGAACGAGAATGGAGAAGTGTTTGCAGACTTGTGAGCATTCAACGATTTGGTGATTGGAGGTGAGACAGTGTGTTCAAGCACAAGGATATCCACAAAGCCAGCGACATGGATTTGATTTCACCAGATGAACACACTACACTAAAAATCAGATCGACTTTATCTCAATGT